TGACTTCGAAAAGGAGGAAGTGGTTCTGCCCGAGCCAAAAAGGATCAAAGCAAAGCACCTCCTTCAAGAGGCAGAACTCCAGCGAGGATGTCGGGATCTTTCCGGCAAGGTCCTTCGAGAATTGGCGGGCTCTGCGCAGTATTGGGCCGTCTCAGCGCCAGAGATTTCACCCTACCTCCCAGTGTTCTACCGCCTGTTTCAGCAGGAGCGAGGGGAACATCTCAAGGTTTGCCAACGGGGCTCCCCCGAGGAGGTTGAAACGGCGTGGGAATTCTGGGACGCTTTCGATTGGGTCAGGCTCCAAATGGACGACCATGGGGGGCCAGCTTCAAGGTTGCCTTTGAGAAACTGCTCCCCTTGCGCGAGAGATTCGCACTGCCCGGGATCGTGGCAAGGACTCGCTTTGTCGGGGGAGACGCCGCCCTTGAAAGGCTAGGTTCAGCCCGCCGGGTTCCCCAGCGAGCTAGCCGGCTCACACTCCCTTAGGAAAGGGGCGGCCACAGCGTTTTTCGCAAGTACCGGCGATCTTGAAAGACTCAAGAGATATGGGGGTTGGTCATCGGATGCTGTCCATGCGTACCTGTTTGAGGATCATACCGCACAGGAGGGCATATCCTCTGGGATGCCCAATCAAAGAAACCCTAACCATGAACCACCCCTTGGGAAAGTAGCCCGTCTTAGCTGGTTCCAGAGCGAAGCGCAGCACTGCAGCGGACAAGACGGCTCGGGCCGCATCCTGGGCCCAGGGAAGCGGGCATCCTTCGCTACCATGGCAGGGTCAGCTGAAGCCGGCGCTGTTCCTCCAGAATTGTCCCACTCTGAACCTCTACAACTTGCTGGGAGTCAGAGAGGGCTGTGCCCCGTGAGAGGTATTACCTGCTTTCAGAAAAAGGCCAGGGTGATCCATCCGGACAAGTTCGCAGGAGCTCCGGAAGAGGTGAGAGAGAGGAAACCCAATGAGTTCAAATTTGTTGACGGCAGCAAGGGACATTCTCCTCGACCCCTTTCACAGCAGCACACTATCCCCGGTGGTTTCGCTCTCAAAGCCCTCGGCCGCGGGAGTTCCTCCTGCTAAGGCCTCTTCGGCAGCCGGGCCCCCCCCGCCAGGGGCCAGAAGGAGCGCCACCACGGCGCCAACCCACACCGACTTCAGCGGCGGCCAGGCGTCGGGGTACTATGCTCGTCAGGCCTATACCCAGCAGGCCTATGGTGAGAGAAGGAATCCTGAGCAACAGTTTGGGAGGTCATCGGGAAGCAGCAGCCACCGTGGCCCGGGAGCTGAACCCTGGATGCCTTCCGCTTCACAGCGGCAAACCTCGGCCTCGCAGGACGGGGGACCAAAGCCAGGCGGCCGCAAGGCGCCGCCCCAACACGAGGGGCCTAGGAAGCCTCCTCCTCCCCCCTGCCTCGCAGACACCAGCGTCCTCGGACAGGGAACCAAAACCACAGGGGCACCAACCACCACCTCCCACCGAGCAGCCAAAGGATGCGAGGCGCAGGAAGCCTCCCCGTCCTTTCCACCACAACAGACGGGAGCTAGGGCAGCGCGGCACCGACCACGCCTCAAGCACAGCCCAAAGCACCCGCCACCATCCCAGTAAAGGCCAGGCCGAAGACTGTGCATAGCTTTGAGGGTGCTCTGCCCGGGATACCGGCCCAGCCGGCCCCACCTCCCACAGCTCCTAGACGACATTGGTCCCCATGAACCAGCTGAACGCAGCTTTTAGAGCCCTGTGCGGCGCGGTGCGATATGTTTTGGCAGGAAGCTCATGGCCGGCCCAGCGATGACGACTTTGTGCAAGTCCACATCGAGGAAGAAGAGTCCGACGAGCTCACCGGGCACGAGTTCGGCTCGAACGTGGACTGGGACGAACCAATGTGGCCCGATGCTCAGGATGAGGGGCCCACCGGTGGTCAGGACAACTCTCGGACCTATGAAGAGGTCGCGCAAGAATTCATCGACCACTTCATCCAGTACATGCCAAAGATGTTTGGGGCGCTCCGCCCAAAACCCGTTGGGTGGTCCGTGCCGGGCCCCCCTTCAGTGCTTGTTGGGATATCATTTGCATCCAGCAGCGTCACACTTGCTGACTGGCGAGGGTAAGCAAGAAGGCCCTGGACCAGGAGTGAAGAACCCGCCAAAGTTCAAGCCTGCTGGGGGAAAGGCAGCGCCCGGATAACCCGGAGAGAAGACGTCCAGAGACCCCAGAGGGCAGCGCCGGCGTGCCTTCAGCTGCTGTTCCAGCGGCATCACCTTCCGCACAGCGGGGAGCTACCTCGAAGGCCCCTTCAGCCACCGCTGAGACCATCTTCTCCCCGTACCTCGATGAAGAAAGCGTTGACTGGGGAGGAGAGGATGACAGGACGGCGGAGGAGAAGGCCGAAGATGAGGAGATCCTGAACAGGACACGGGAGAACATTGTATAATGCATGGAAGCGATGTGTCGACCGCCTCTGGGACATGCGCATCAACCTTGAGCCCCACTTCGACAAGCCACATCCGGGTAAGTTCCAAGAGGACCTGGCAGCAGGATCGCGGACTCCAGGACATTCGAGGACCTACCCAGAACCTGCGCACCTCTGAGAAGCCTAAGAAAGTCCTTATGCCTAGCTTCTTGAAGGCCAAGGGCGAAAAGCGGGCTCAGAGACGGGCTGAGAAGTGGAAAACCAGTACAAGCGGGCGCGCCGCTGAGCACCAAGGCAGAAGTCCACCCCAGCGCCCCGCTGGAACGGCCAGCGTTCAGCCAACCACTCCCCAAACACAGCCAAGAGCAGCCGACAGCCCCACGCAGAACCGACCGCCAAACAAGGGGCTCCCCCTGTGGAAGCAGCCAGACCGGTTGGGATTGGTCCAGCTGGCAGTGGTCATGGAACAGCAGGACGACGAAAGCTGGAACGTGGAAGCCTGAGAGTTCCGGCGATCCGCCGGAAGGGGACTATGCGCAGTGGTACCGCAACCCTGCTCACGGATGAAAGCATGCAGGGCCCCAATTCCAGAGCACAGGATGCGGTAGCGATGACTCGCGGACGAGATGATTCTGAGAGAGGGGAACTTTTGAGCTTATAATAATTCATTTCTTCACGGCAATACTCCATTGCCTTCGCTGGCTCAACGGGAGGAAAGCCAGGTGAACCTTGGCACCTCTCGGGGTGATCTGCCGACGCGAAACAAGGCGGCCCATCACCGACAAAAGGGAGTCAGCCTGTGTGCTCCGTTTTGGTGGTTGCCTTTTGTTACTAACTCGGTTTTTCGGTAGAATGTAGGGTTAGTGGAATGTGGCTTCACTTCTGGCTCAAGAATTTTGATGCCTTCCTACCACTTTAGGGCCCCCCCCCCCCCCCCCGAGGAAAGCCAGGGGGACCTTGGCGCCTCTCGGGGTGATCTGCCGACGCGAAACGAGGCGGCCCATCACCGACAAAAAGGAGTCAGCCTGCACGCTCCGTTTTGGTAGTTGCCTTTTGTAACTAACAATGAGATAAACGGTAACGGCAAGCGCACTCTTTCTTTTCCTCGCAGCTTGCTTATGGCACATAGCCGCTAGCCAAATGAACACTGGCTTGATCTGGTTCTTTTTTCACTCAACCTTACAGGGGGGGTTTCAGCTGCTTGAGTGTGGTATTGAAGCGTTCTGTTTTCAGTGTGTTTCTTTTGGTGCGTGTTTTGTTGAAAGCATGCGTGAGGAACTCATTATGTTCTTTGGCACCGATTGCGAACGCAATGCTGAAGAGTTGTTTGCCAACAGCTGGAAGGTTGTCAAGAAGAACCTGAATACCAGCATCATTGCCGGCATACAATGTGACTTGCAGAAGAAAGCCACTATCAAGCTGCAAGAATGGATTCTTGGCTGCACCAAACGGATGCAAGAGTGTGAGCAAGAGGTTTGTCTACAGGTCTCCCAAGTGGCACAGCCTGACTTTCACTGGCGTGATCAAGTTGAGTTCAGCACTCCTGAACAAGTGGCCATGAAATCAGAGACGCGCAGCAAGCAGCGCACTGCGTGGCGGTTTTATCTGGTCAAGAGATTTATGAAGGAAAGAGACGTGACCATCACTTCTGTGTCGCAGATGAAGAGATCTTTCATTCAGACGATTGAGAAGCAGCGTGCGGCTTGGGTGGAGAGTATGGAGAAGCATATGGAGGAACTCATGGGGGAAAAGTATGAAGAGTTGGAGCGGACATACTTGGAACAGCTGAGCAAATACACAGAGCAGCTGCATAAGGTCTCTGAGAATGAGAAGGGCAAGGGCTTTGAATATTTATCCATACTCCGCACTCTTCTTGCTCAGATCCAAAACATTGACATGGACATAGCAGAGCTGTCACAGCTGACAGAGCAAGGTGATGTGATGGAGGAGTATTGCCAGCAAGTTGATCTCGGGCAGGGCGGACTTGCTGCTGCCGACACTGACTCTGTTGCCCCAACAGAAGCTGAACAGGAACCCATGAGGGAGCCACCCTGCTCAACATCTGGCAGTGCCTCGCCAGTCTCGCCAGTGAATGGTGTGAATACTTGGAAGGTTGCAGATGTGCAAAATTTCCTGAACGAACTCGAGATGAGTGAGACTGTTCGCCAGAGCTTTGCCGAGAACTCGGTAGATGGAGAGGTCCTTGCGGGTCTCTCAGTGGAGGAGCTGCAACAGGAACTTGGGCTGTTGCCACTTCAAGCAAAGAAAATCCACAACAACATGGTCAAGAGGATGGCCAAATCTCCTTAAACAATTTTTCAATTGTTGCGTTTTGTGGTAGGTCGAGCGCTGGAGGCACGCTCTCAAAGAAAGCTGTGCTAGCTACTGTTCAGGTCATGTTTGACTTACGCGTATTTGTACGCGTGAAAGTGAAAGCGGGACTAAAAAGATTTGAGGAAAGATCTGGAGGAAGACTACCACAGCCCTGTGTTTCTTGTAATTCTTGCTTCGTCTTAGAAGGGAGACTGAACCCGCATTTTGCCTCCCCCCCAAAAAAAGAACTCTATATATATATATATACATACTTTTTGGTCCAAGCGCCTTCAGCATTTTTCTTGTTGTGGCATCATGGCATCCATGTTGGTGCCTGCCCTAAACGCTTTGCAGATAGCCTACAAAGACTTGAAAGAGAGCCAAAAGATCCCGCGCCTGATTGAAGTGGCTGACAACTTGCTCTTGGCCACTCAGAGCACCATTGAGACCTTTCAGAAGTCTTACAGCGAGCGCATTGATGAGTTTCCAGGGCTTGTAAAACCAATGGAGCATCTAGTGGATGCGCTCAAGTTGTGCAAGGAGAGGCTGACTGAGTCCAAAGAAAATGCCCTCCGGAATGCTGCGCTTGCTTCTCTTACAGGCGGCGGATCGAAAACCGAGATCCAAGAAGCTCTCGGGCAGTTGAAGGCCGCGCAGGAGAATTTTCAAGCACATCTTACGTTGAAGCAAACAGTTCTTCAACATGAAGTTCTGGCCCAATTCCATGAGCAGAAGCGTGCCGGCAAGTTGGAGGAAGTAGCTGCTATGGTTGAACATATGAAGGAAGACCAAACAGAGATTGTGGATCAACTGCAACTAATTCTTCGGTGCATTGAACAAACCCATCATCACCAAGCCCTAAGCCTTGCTGATCTTCCCACCTTGCGGACTAGGTCTCTGGAGGTTGCAAGGAAGTGCGAACTCTTCTTTCAGGACCTGCAGCGTATCCCACAACGTTTCTTGCCGAACTTCAATCAGATGGCCTCAAGCTTTCAAGACATTTTGAAGGACGTTCAGGCCAATCTGAAGTCCTTGAAGCTCCAACTGTGCTTTGTTGGGCCAATGAAGGCTGGGAAGAGTACGGTCATCAATGCCATTTGTGGCAAGCAGCTTCTACCAAGTGCCCAGTTTGCAATGACGGTGCTCCCAACCTTTTTGGTGCACACCCCAGGTGTCAAACAGCCAAGGTTGCTGTTTCCAGGCGCCGACGCCTTCACTCCTGCTTTGGAAGAGCTGAAGGAGCTGGCAAACAAGTGGCACGCAGAGAAACGTATTTCTGAACTCCGAAAGAAGGGTAAAGAACCACTGCCTGAGTTTGTCGAGAGTGAGGGCAGTGAGGAAGAGGAGAAGAAAAAACCTCTAGACCAGATTATCCTCACTCCGGATGAAGAACAAGTCTTGGAAGCATTGATCCAAGGCAAGGTTGAACACCTTTCTGTCAAAGTTACAGACATTTGTGGTGCCACATATTCCAGCCTCAGTGCGCAAGTCTACAGTCTACAGAAGAGGTTCGGTTTTCCCAATGGATACTGGATATATATATATATAAATATTTGGGGGGACCTTTATGTCTAATAACAATGACCTCTCACTCCTCTCCATTCAGCTTCGTCCCAGCTGCTGTACTCTATTCTATTCTAAAATACGATTGTGTCAAAGATGCAATGAGACTTGGATAGTATTTATATATACTATGCCAAATAAATGTAGAGCAAGGTGGGATACCAACAGGAGAAGTGACGTAGAGTAGGGTAAAAGATAAAGCAGAAGCGATCACAGGTTGACCAATTACACACATATATCACAGGTTGACCAATTACACACACATATATGTATATATCACGGATGTCGGGATGCGACTAGACTGCTGCTGGGGTGGCTGTACCCGCACCTCTAGAACCACGTGAACCCTTGGACGACCTGGAGCCTCCGGACTTGCGTGAACCACTGGAGCCCCTCGACTGAGAACGGTCTCCCTTCTTCTTCTTACGCTTGTCCTTCTTGCTCCTATCGCTCTTCTGGGAGTCACGTGATGGTGACCTGGCAGGCGTGGCCTTCCTGGGCCGTTGCTGGGAAGACTCACACTTGTCGCCCCTCTTGCAACGTCCAGCCTTTCAAAACTTGCACGCAATCTTGGATGCGTCTTTCTTTTCTCTACCCCTGGACTGTGAGCGCCCGCTTGGACTTTTGGTCGCGCTCTTCTCACGTTTCTTGGGTACTTTATGCTTATATGGGCAGTTCTCTTTGCTACAGCCCCCTTTGTTCCACTGAACGAACGCAAAAACCCCTGGGGATGAAAGGAGTTCGCGCATCGGCAGCTGGAGCGGATGGTTTGGCACCACTAGCGGCAATCCGTCCCCGATTGTGTTTTCCCTCATGAGATGTCTACGAACAGCGTCATACAGGAACTGGTAGCAGTGCTTCGAACTTACCTCTTCGGCGGGGTGATACTCTTCAATGTCATGGGCGATTGCCCTGTGGTTCTTCACTTGCTGATAGAACAAAGTTTCCAGGACAGCGACGGAGTCCCAGTTGGACAAAAATGTCTTGAGGTTGTCGCCCTTCATCTTCACATTGAACAAGTCACTAAGAGAGTATGCGGCGCCATGCTTGATGTTTGTGCTGAAATATTCATGCTTCATGAGTAGCGCCTGTCTCCCTCGGACCGGACGATCCTTCATAGACTCCTTCTCCTTGAAAGTGTCAACCTTGCGTGCAAATTCACCTGTGACAATAGACGATAAGGCAGCGAGAAGCTTGGCATCGAGAGTGGTCAAACCCTCAGGACTGGCTAGACCGTCAATGGTTTGTCCCTCAACCCACACCTTGTTGATCCATGAGAACGCCTTGTCAGGTTTGGATGATGCGGCCCTCACCGCATCCCTCACCCGAATCTTCCAATTGCGGTAACTCTCAGGTTGTGGAAACGAAGGAATCTTGATGTGGTCTGCCTCCTTAGCAGTAGAACTCTTACCCCCCAACACTTGTTTGATCTTCATTGAAATCATCGTCATCATCTGGATCATCATCGTCCCCCGAGGACCGGGTGGTCCACCTCCCGACTTCGGAATTTTGAGAAGCGGAATTCCCGGGCGTCCAGATTGTATGGATCGCTTGATGATGGACCTCTACCAGGGTAGCCCCCTCCCCCTCCCAGTCGTCCCGCACCATCCCCTGACCCATCTCCTGAGGGTTGCCACTGCTTGCGTTGATGTTGAGTGATCCATATCCATCATTCCAAGGACTAGCAGATTGGAAAACCGGAGCGTTTAAGGAAATACACTCCTTGGCTGAGACCTCAGGGATGGTGAACCAAATAAATCAGATGTTCTGATAGACTTGATGTCATCAGTGGCAAAAGAGTCTTTGGGGTGTGCTTCATTGACCGTCACGAACTTCGGCAGCCCCTTCCGGAACGCCAGGCATGTCCCCCTTTTGCCCCTGCAATTCTCGAAGTTCCTTTAGGAGTTGCGTCTGGATTCTCCGTCTCGGCTAAACGCCTTTGCATTTCAAAGGATGCCTGTTGTTGCTGCGCAAGGTTCATCTCGAGGAATGAGACCTTTTGACCCTGCATCATTTCGAGTCCAGCGATATGCTGACGGTGATTCATGGACATTTCCATGAACTGGTTTTGATCTTGTTCCTGCATGGTCTGATATCCGGTTTCCGCAGCGTTGATGAGTGCACGCGCTTGGACATTCATCTCTTCATTCTCGCAGAAAGCCTCATCAGCCTCATTTCGGAGCTTGCTTGCCGCGAGCATTCGTTCTGCTCGTCGCCCCTCAAGTTGCTGATTTTGGGATGCCTGACGCATCATTTCCGCAACAATTGCAGGTGGTGTGTGCGCAAAGGAAAAATTGGCCTGATTGAAAATCGCCGGGGCGTTCCCGCCCGCTCCCCAGTCTGCCGTCGACATATTGGACCCGTTGTCTGGTGTAGACGAGACATTTGAATCCATTAACGGTAGATGGAAAGCGGCGGGGCCATCCGTACTTCCGTACGGCGCAGCCAGCCTTGCGAGGGCGGCAGGATCAAGGGAGATGTCCATGGCTGCAAATGACGTGGAGCAATACTACGGGCCTAAGGCTATACGGCTGATAACCTATGTTTATAGGCAAACAGCCTTGAGCCAAACGTCGCGGTTGGATATATATATATATATATATCCAAGCAGATGTACATGGCTTACTTAGAAAATACACAATAAACAAAAAGTATCAAAAAACAAATCTGTGCCGAGGCGTTGTGAAGGCTCGCGCCAACCGCAAGAAATCTGCCAAGCTTTAGCGGCCCATATCATGCTCTGGAAACGCTGTGCTTTGCAGGGTTTTTGGAAGATTGATACAATTGGATACGGTTTCGGACCAAATGTTCGTGATGCTGGTTACGCAGGCCGGTGGAGATTGCATTATCGACATCCCGGACGCATGTGGTGTAATTTTAGATTTGTTTTCATAGAACTTTAGATGATTTTTCAGTAGTTATGATGTAAAATAGCTAGATAAGACAAGGGGGTCTATAACTTAAAATGTAAGTCAGCTCGCTGATGCATTCTTATTGCTTTCGTCAGCATTTCGCATTTCAATGTTTGATGTCAAAACTATCCAGAGTTTGTGGACACGTCAGATGAAGACTCAACAATATTGCCAATTCCAAAAAGTACCAAAAATTGGGTCAGGCTTTCGGTTGCACCAGCCTCATCGTGTTGATCAGACTTGTTCGACCTTCTTCAGGCTCAGATGCTATTCACATGCTTTTGCCTTTGCATCACGTTGCAATGAACGTGCGGTTGGCATCACTTCGCATGTCGTCAATGCATTTAGTTGTTACTTCATTTTTCTGTTCGCATGTCGTCAATGCATTTAGTTGTTACTTAATTTTTCTGGGTGGTTCCCTCCTGCGAACGGAGACACCCTCGGCGCGCTTAGGATAGTTTGGGTTCCCTCCTACGAACGGAACACCCACGGCCGCGTTGCCATTGTGGTGGGCTGAAGGCCAACGCTCGCTCTCTTTGCGTCGAGCAGTTCACTGCCGTCAAGGCCTGCGATCGTGACTGTTTGCACGCTTCCTGTGCTCCAGCCAATGGTGAGTCGCGAGACGATGGCTGTCTATCAGATTGACGACGATGCCCCTGCGTTGGATGTCTTCTTGCTCTTGACGAGCCATGCGCAATCCTTGGAGAATGCGGCGACTTCGATCCATCAAGTGGCATCGCACTATGAGATGAATAATGCCTTTGGTCGTAATTGTGCCAGGTTGTATGTCCCTGGTCTTCGCGATACTGTGTTTCAATTACGTCAACAGGCATTCCAGTTGCGCAGCGAAGCCTGCAACGCCTATGCCCTGATCCAGGCTCAGGCCGAGAGACTCCGATGAGTCGCGCCTTCAGTCCATTTTTGCATGGAATAGCTGGTTTTGAATTTGCATCCTCTCCGTTGAGATTGGATGGCATAAGAGCGCCTTTTGAGGTTCACAACATCCTTCAGCCTTCAATGTTGTGCGCCTCCGATGCTTTCGCGAGCGTTCACGCTCTCAGGCCCGGTGAATGCGCTGGGCTGGCATCCGTCGCCTCCGCTGATGAAACCTTTGCCCGTTCTGCGTGACTCTTCACGTTCTTAGGGGAGGCTTGAATGGTGAAGGTGTTTTGAATCACGTTCAATCGCTTAAATGGGTGAAGTTTCTGTTTTCGTGTGGTGTTTTGAATCATGTTCAATCGAACCGATGCGATGTACTTGAAGCATTCGAACTCAGAGCTGTTGTCGTGAGTTTCTCAAAACACGTTTGGGACAATGGTCCAAATTTGGCATCGAGGCTGAATGCACACATGCTTGTTTAGTCTGTTTCTTCACAATTGTGATTCTTGAAGGGGTGAAGATTCTGTGTTCGTGTGGTGTTTTGAATCATGTTCAATCGAACGATGTACTCGAAGTAATCAAACTCAGAGCTGCTGTCGTGAGCTTCTTCAAAACATGTTTGGGACCATGGTCCAAATTGGCATCATGGGTGGATGCACACATGTTGTTGAGACTGCTTCTTCACAATTGTGATGCAACTCACTGTGTCCACCCATCAAAGGATCACAGATGAGCGTCCGTGGATGCACGGCTCACAGCTGCCGCGGGGCAGGGGTCGGGCCTGCTGGGGCGGGCCTGATTTGGAGGGTGCCTTGGTGGATCTGCCTGAGGCAGGAGGGACTCTGAGCAGTTCGCGACTGTTAGCTTGTGAGGAGTGCCACTGATAGTCCTTCGAGTGTATTTCATCCGCTTCCTGTGAGGAGGGAGGTTCGCCTTATGGGCACAGCAGCGCTGATGGAGGCCAGCTTGTGATGCGCAAGTTGAACTTGATTGCAGTTCAAGCTTCTTGCATTGGGCTCGTTTGTTGTGACCTGGACGCGCCCTAGGTACATCAGAGGTGTTG